ACATGAAAAACATAATATTGGGGTGAGTAAAGAGTAGAATTTTATACACAATAGAAACTAAATTGTTGTTAGCATAAAATACAGTGTTATATCTCTAAGACATTTGAAGCAGGCCTCATGGTAACCACAAACCAAAAACCTACAGTAGATACACAAAAGATAAAGAGAAGGAATTCAAAAGATACTAAGATGAAAAATTATCAATCCACAGAAGACACTAAGAGAGGAAGAAAGGAATAAGGGACCTGCAAACCACCCCAAAATAATTAATAAGATGATATTAGTAAATCCTTACCTATAAATGATTACTTTAATTATACATGGGTTAGTTTTCCAATCAAAAGACACAGAGTGGCTGAATGGATGAAAGAACAAACAAACAAACCATAGCAATATACTGCCTACAGGAGACCCGTTGAAGTCCGCAATTGGGAAGCACCTACCAGCTCGGAAAAATAGTACTCGCATTATCTCAAATGCATAGTTGTTCTCATAAGAAAGTAAGTTAAATCTCCAGACACCAACTATAAAAGGTAGAAACTTTTGCCTCACATGCATTTACTCCCTGTTAAATGTTGTTCTTTTTTTAAGTGAAATACTGTGGGGCATGGTTGTGGTTTTCTTTCCCTTTCCAACTTCTTTACTGTAACATGAAGGAGCATATGTTGTATAATAAAACCATGCTACTGAATGCACAAAGATTTTTAAATCTACACAGAAGGATTCTTCCACTGTGTGGGTTATTTTCTCCTTTGGCATCTAAACATAGGTGCAGCATAAATGTGTAGGATATTTAGCTCAACGGCCCCTTTTAGAAAGACTTCATTAGCTCCTAAAAGACAACTAGTTTTCAACTGGAACTTGGGGTAAAGGTGTATACAAGTTTTACATTTCACTTTCATGTCTGCATATTCCCTTTCCTCTGATATTTCTCTTATCTAGAAATATCCTCTTTTAAGAAACCTTTATTTATTTATTTTGAGAGAGAGAGAGTGCACGCACATGGGCTGGTGAGCAGGAAAGGGACAGAGAGACAGGGGGAGAGAGAATCCCAAGCAAGCTCCTCACTGTCAGCACAGAGCCCACCATGGGGCTTGATCCCATAACCCTGGGTTCGTAACCTGAGCCGAAATCAAGAGTCAGATGCTCAACCGACTGAGCCACTCAGCAGACACCTAGGAATCCTGGTTCCTTGTTCAGCCCCAGACCCCATCAGGTAGTAAGGGCACTTGGGGACAGACTGCCACCCATTTGCGACTGCTACGCCAGAGCAAATTTTCCAAAGGTAGGCTCACCCCACATCTATGGATATGCAAGTAGTTGGGGCCAGGCTGGAGTTTTACGGGCTTGGATGGCCAGGCTGCCCAAGGTCTACTTACAGGGTGTCTACGGAGCATGTCTAGGCTGCAAGTTCATGGGAACCAGGGATTTGGAATAAGGCAAGTGTCTGGAGATGCAGGGTTATGGGAGCAGACTCTTAGGGTTACGATGACAAGGCATCTGTCTAATTTCAAGGCTTTCCCCAGCTGAAGACAGAGCTAGAGGGATCCAGTCTGCCTTGCAAAGTGGGTCCACTGGGGTGGCTGGGGCACATCCCAGTAACAGACACGTGGGAGCCTTGAGCACTGGGGAAGCTCCACACTTCATCTGGTGGCCAATCCAAATGGATCCAGAATTTCGACACATTAAAACTGCCCTTTCAGAAAGATATTTGGGGCTAGGGGGTGGGGGCTGGAGGTGGGCTCCTTTCACCCTGAGGGTTTTCAGGTGGTTTGAATCTAATGAGAGTTCCACAGACCTGGAGTGCTCTCTGCATGCCAAGGCTGGCTGACAGGGTATGGACAGGGCATGAGCAGGTCCCACAGGTCAAGGTGACCAAGGACCTGGAAGAGAGCAATGTCAGGCAAGGCAGATCACAGAAATGGGTTAATAAAGGTACTGGCATCTGCCTAACTCTTTTTTTTTTAATGTTTGTTTATTTTTGAGAGAAAGAAAAAGAGAGAGAGTACGTGGGAAAAAGGCAAAGAAAGAGGGAGACACAGAATCCAAAGCAGGTTTTAGGTACTGAGTTGTCAGTACAGAGCCTGATGCAGGGCTCAAACCCACAAACTGTGAGATCATGACCTGAGCCGAAGCCAGACGCTTAACCAACTGAGCCACCCAGACGCCCCTGCCTAATTCTAAGACTTCAACTACACGAATGTGTGTATTTCCCCTGAAGGCAGACTGGAGTGATCTGGACCTCTTTGCTGCGGAGAGGGAGGAAGCATAAGGAATGGGTGAGGTATCCTATAATACTAGGCACCAAGAAGCCTTAATTACTGGAAAGCCAAACACCCTATTAGGCAGCCAGTCCAAATGGGGATAGACCATTGCCAGCTTAAAGCAGCCATCTCAGAAAGATTTTCAGGGTGTGGGCTCTCTCCACCCTGGAGGCTGGCAGGTGTTTGGGGACAGGCTTGAGCTCCATAGGCCTACAGGGCCTATTAATAGCCAAGGCCGACCCACAGGGTATGGACCATGCATGCATGGGAACACAGATCAAGGTAGTCAAGGACTTGTCATGGGTAATGTAGGGGAAAGCCAGGTCACAGGAGGACATTAATAAGCATACCTGTCATCTGCCTAATCCCAAGTCTTAACCTACTCAATAGTTAGTCTAGCATGATACAAGATGATAATGCATAGAGAAATATTGGCAATAACAGCCATAATAATTATAGATTTCCTTGAGTGGCAAGAACAAGAATTAAAAGTTTATAGGACACTATCTTCTACTGAAGCTATGAATCCACTATGCATCTTTTATCCTATCAGTAATCAATGGAATGGAATGGTCAGTACAGCACGTGCTTGCTGGCCATACTATTTTGCCTATTGCTCACTATTGGATACCATACTCATTGTAGCTATGGATGCTCTTCTGACAGCAAAGTCAAAAGGACTCTGCAGGAATAAAAGTGAGAACAACAATCTACATCCCTAAAATAAATCATCCTTGAATTCTGATACTACAGCAAACATATGCTTGATATGCTATGCAAGCTTGTACCCCTCGGAACTTTGTAAAAATGATCTCTATTTGGAAATATTTGTCAAGGAAGTTAAGCGAGAGGTTTAGGAAGGGTAAGCTTTGGTCATCTGGTGATTCGATATGGTACTATATTGAAGAGTTGTTTGTTATGCCTATCAAGGTAATATCAGCCATGTGGTTGCTCAAACTGGTCATCAAACTATGGTATGAAAGAACATGCACCAATGGGAAAATACTCTCAAAATTTGACTGAATGTTTACGATTAAGATTGGAAGTGATGTGGAATCAAGAAGTGGATTGATATTTTTATGAACTTAAATTTGTACTGGGAATTAATTGGGGTCTTAGTATTAATTACTGTGGAAGCGATTTGAAATTATGCAGTTGATTGTTTTGTATTGATTTGGCATGACTTAAAATCCATTCATTTATGACAAAGACCAAAAGAGCTGTTTTTAGAAGGGAAGGTTTTGTTTAATTTTTTTAACATTTATTCATTTTTGAGAGACAGAGAGAGACAGAGTGTGAATGGAAGAAGGGTAGAGAGAAAGCAGGACACAGAATCTGAAGCAGGCTCCAGGTTCCGAGCTGTCAGCACAGAGCACAACATGGGGCTTGAACTCATGAACCACAAGATCATGACCTGAGCTGAAGTCAGACGCTTAACCTACTGAGCCACTCAGGTGCCGCAAGAAGGAAAATAGTTTTAATGCAAGAAATAAGGAAGTTGTGTCGGGATGTCATCATCTCTTCTGTCCTCACCCATAAGAACTCAGTAGCTCAGCTCATGAGGGGTCCTGTTGGGGACTCACCAACAAAAACATACGAATCAGCCACTATTGCCAGGGGCCACTTAAACTGTATATACTGAGAGTATTGAGACTCTACATATGATCCAAGAGTGCTAGGTCTAGGCAAGGCTACACTTTGCTGATCTAAGATAGTTCTCTAAGGGGCGCCTGGGTGGTTCAGTTAGTTAAGCATCCGGCATCAGCTCAGGTCATAATCTCATGGTTCGTGGGTTCGAGCCCCACATCGGGCTCTGTGCTGACAGCTAGCTCAGAGCCTAGAGGCTATTTCGAATTCTGTGTCTCCCTCTCTCTCTGACCCTCCCTTGCTCATGCTGTCTGTCTCTGTCTCTGTCTCTGTCTCTCTCTTTCAGAAATAAATAAAACATAAAAAAAAAAAAAAATAAGATAGTTCTCTGAGTCCTTGGGGCAATTAGCTCCTGCAGCGGAAAGGGTGACTCTTTTACAGTGAGTGGAGAAAGCTATGCAACCAACCCTCTAAGGACATCTTCTACCCATAAATACCAGTGCCATCATTCCCTCCCAATGTGCCCTAGAACATAGGACTCTTACTTTTGCAATGTCAGCTCTCAGTTGGTTAAGCCATGGATTTCCCAAATACCAACTCGTATAGAAGTGCACACCAACTAAATTTAGGGCTTATTCCTTCCATCTCCCCCTGGCTGGATGATAGCGACTAATCTAACATTGCTCTAGAGTATGTTATTTCTTAATTGGCATATTCAAAGACATTATGCCATATGCTATTGGCTTGTGAAATTCTCACAGGGAACCAATGTAAGTACATCACTGGCAAAAACAAATTGGTCTATGAACATTATTTTCTTGCAAAATACAACAGCTTCCAGGGCGAATATGTGCACTTGCATAGGTTAAGGCTTGGAAGTAGGCAGATTTCAGGTACCCCCACTAGCCTGGTCCTGCAACCTGGCCTTGCCCAGCATCTGCCCTGTTCTAAGTCCCTGAGCCGGACCACCTGACATGAGCAGTCCATACCCTATCAGCCACCCTTAGCCAGATGGGATCCTCCAAGCTCTTGAAGGTAGGCCCCTTCCCCAACAGCCAACATTGCCTCAAGGGTGGAGGGAGTCCATCCCTGAAAATCACTGTGAGGCAGCCATTAAATGGGCATCCATCAGTCCCCATGCGTACTCACCATTTGCTGGGGTCCCAGGCTTCTGAAGCCAGCAAAGCTCCCAGATGTCTCTTACTGGAGGGTACAAAAGCCAGCCTGCCCAATCGAAGCCTGGGAAGGCAGTCCAAATTCTTCCAGCTCTGCCTACAAAGGGAATATGCACATTTGTGTAGGTCAGGGCTTGGGATTAGGCAGATGCCAGGCACCCCCTGTGATCCCCACTGTGACTGGCCTTCCCTAGACATTGCCCTATTCCAGGTCTCTGGCTACCTTGACCTGCAATTTCCAGGCATGCCTAAGTCTGCGCTTTGTCAGCTGGGGTCCCCACAGGACTGTGGAGGTTAAGACCCTTCCCAACTACCTGCTTAACCTCCAGGTTAAAGAGACCTGAACTTAAAATCTTTGAGGCAGCAGCTTTACACGGGCAACTCTCAGCCCTCAATTTGGACTGGCTGCCTGATGGGGTCTGGGCTTCCAGAAGGCTGTTATTAGAAGATACCCTGGCCAGCTCTCCCCACACTTCCCCAGCAAAGCCGTTCATTATTTCTTCAACTCTACTTCAGCAGGAATATGCGCACTTGTGCAAGTGGATGCATAGAAGTAGTAACATACCAGATACTCCCGGTAGAATGCTCCTGGGACCTGACATTGCCCTGCTCTGGTCCCCAGCTACCCTAATCGTGAAGCACAAGCCTGTGTACTCTGCCCCATGTCAGCTGGCCTTGGGCTGCAGGGCCACCCCAGGGCTTAGAGCTCTGGCTGAACCCCAACCTTCTAAATGACCTCAGGGTAGGAGAGCCCACCCTTGAAAATCTGCCTGAGGAGCTGCCTAATACCAGCCGCCTGATAGAGTACAGAACTTCTCGCAATCAAGGTTCCAGGTGCTCGTTATTGCAGGATACCCCAGGCAGCCCACCTGGCCCACTCCTGGTAAAACAATCCAGAATCTTGCACCTTCAGGAGGAATATGTGTATTTGTGTAGGTTAGGGTTTGGAATTAAGCAGCTACTGGGGATTCCCAAGAACCTATTCTTGTGACCCACCCTCTCCCATCCCTTGCCCTTTCCCGGGTGTATGCTTAGCCTCACCTGCCAGGCCTGCACACGTCCACATGCACCTGACTTGTTGGCCTTGGGCAGTGGGGGCCCTCAAAGCCTGTGGAAGCCAGCCCTGTCTAAAAACACCTGTGTAGATGCCAGGATTGAAGCGTCTTTATGTAAGCAAAGCAGGTACCAGCAAGATGAGCCATTTTCTTTCATTTGTAGTTCGAATGTCTGTGTTAGTTTTTTGAGCACCACACAGAATGGCACAAAGATCGTCTGTATACAAGCTGCTGCAGCATCTTCTCTGAAGTTTACATCAAGTCATTCATATTCAGTTTGCAGGGCTTCAAAGAAAAAGGAACTTTGAGTTCTCAATTATTCCAAGTCCAAAGAACAGGAGAAATTTGAAAATGTTAGTGTGAAGAGCTGTAGCCAGAAATTGGAGGAAAACCATAGTTCTTCCTTTGTGAAGTTACCCTCCTTTTCAGAGGTAGCCAAATTAAGACAAATTTGTTGGTAAAAATTAGTTTTAGTAACTTGGTCTACTTATTTCCATAAGAGTAGCAAAAGCAGGAATTGATCATGTAGGCTTTTTATTTATTTTTTATTTGCTTTAAATGTACTATTTTTTAAAGTTTATTTATTTTGAGAAAGAGCAAGTCAGGGAGGGGCAGAGAGAGAGGGAGAGAATCCTAAGCAGGCTCCTCATTGTCAGTGCCGAGCCCAACACAGGGCTTGAACCCACAAACTGTGAGATCATGACCTGATCCAAAGTCAGATGTTTAACCGACTGAGCCATCCAGCCACCCCTATCATATGGGCTTTTTAAAATCTTCTCTACTGGAACTTTTCATAAGGAAACTTATGGTTGATCCTCTTGAGGCCGAGCCAAATGGTTGCCAGAGTGTCCCGTCAAATACCTATGCATTTGAGTTCCTTCTTCTCTTCTCAAGGTCTCCAAAATATCCTCAGTCTTGCACCTGCCAGGAAATGATCTTTACTTACCTGGTAAGGCTGCTATAAGCAAGGCAATGGGCTATTTTTCCAGGGGCTTTCTTGGCTCAATAAAGTGAACTCTAGTTTCTTAAGTCCTTCTAGTCATATCTGAGTCCATGCATGTTTCATTCAAATATGATATTCTAATCAAAGCCTTGGTAATATAACCAATATCTCCAATTGTGTCCTGTTGCAAGGAAAACAGATTCTTACTGAACATATGCAAATAAATATACTGCCATGAAAATATAAGAATACTTACTGAGCATTTCCAAATTCTGGAGGGCTCTGGTAGAGAGAAAAAGATAAATGGTTCAATTCTGCTTACAAAGGTGTAATTTACCAAACTGCTATAAATCAGCGTAACAGAAAAAGTTCCCTTAAATCTAAAAAAAAAATTAATCAACAACATTTCAAACAAAAAGGCATAAAAATTAAAATTATCATCCTCAGTTTTCGGTCCCAAATAATTAAGTCTTGTTTTGCTTGATCCTGTTTTTCCATTTGTACTGGAAATTTTTGCCCACTTCAGTTTTATGACCTTCCAGTTATAAGAACTCTGTATTCTTGAGTCTTTTTCATGACTCTCCTTGAAGGTGAAGCATTTTTGCAGGAATACTTTTACAAAATCATCCAGGTAACAGTCTGTAAATGATTTTAGAAGACTTTAAAATGGCCATGGTTAAAGATCTGATTCAAGCTCATTACAGTGCATTTGACAAGGAAATTTGATTACTTCTGTGAAACACTTTAAGATAATAAGTAGAATTATAGGTGATAACAAACCAAGACATATCAAGATTTTTAGGAATTTCATGCAGTTTCTAGAACACTTATTTCAACAACATGTGTCTATACAAATATAACCAAAGAAGGTTTATCACTTATTTGACAATGCTTCCCATGTAATTTAACACACCCAATAAGCCTCATTAGTTTAATATCTCTCTTTTGTGAGGAGAATAAGTCCTTTCAAATGGGACCCTCGAGAAGACCTCAACATTTGTGTTCAAAATTCTTCATTTTATTTACTTATTATTTTAAAGACTTCATTTTAGAATTTGATTTGGGAAGTGTATCAAAAAATATCAAAAACATTTTATTAAATTGGATCACAGATCATTAAGAAACAATAATTATCTACTTAACCAAAGTGACAATAAAAGATTTCAAAGGCAAGTACACATTTGTGAGCAAAACTTAGGTCTTTTAATATTAAGATGACTTGGGTTTCTTAAGTAATCAAAGATCTTACGATAAGGAGGTCATGAAGTGCAGGAGATTATTTTCATATACATTCTTTTTTTTCTAGGCAGGTAACGTTAAGCGTAAGATTTTTTTAATAATCTGTTATTAAAATCAGACTAATATTTCAAGGAAACTGTCTTTTTAGCAAAGAGAAAACACAATTTGCATTTCACAGTACACTTTTGTTGTTAAAATTCATTTACTCAATTAAGTTTATTCCAATCTTAGCCAGTCATGACCATACATAAAATTCCTTTTCAAAGATTTCGCTTCTATAAACCTTTTACAATTTTCGTTTTTACATTCAGATTTGTCCTATATTTTCCCTTTTTTCCAGACTCTCCTTAGGACAAAATTACTTCTTTTCCTTGTACAAAAATGCATTCCCATTCTTCACACCTGTTTTACTAAAAGAATACTTCCTACTTTTCTTGCATACAAAGATGTTTCCTTTATTTTTTAAACACATACACAAGAAACATAGACCCAAGATGGTGTCACATAGAGGGAGTTCCCAATCCAAAACTAAATACATAAACTTGTGGTACGGTCCCTTCCTTGAGGAAAAAAAAAAAAAAAAAACCTCAAGGCAACCTGCGTACACATGAACCTGGCAACATCCCTCATGACCTTGTACCACTTAATCAGACTTCATGTTTGTGTATTACCATATATGGGAGACAAAGAAATAGAAAATGTATAAAAAACTACACTATGGGAGAGAGGGCAAGATGGCGGAGGGGTAAGGAGCTCCGTACTTGCACTCGCGCCCATACGTCACACAGAAAAGATCTGAAGTCACTGGAAACCTTACAAAACCTGAGAGATTTGGAGAAAAAGGACGCAGAATCCACTGAGAGAGACTTCTAACGTGAGTGCGAACCGGAGAAGATAAAATCGGGCCGGGATCGGAGACTCCAGGGTGGGAGGCGATCCCCCTCTACCCTCTACGGGGAGTGAGAGGGGAAAA